TAATTTGATTACATTAGAATTTTTTTGAAAATATTTAAATAAAGCCAATTTTGCTGTCTTTTACTTTATAATTTTTTAATTTTCTTTACTATTATCACCTTATAAACATGCTTATATTTGAAATATCTTTTATTAATTCTATATAATTTTAATTAACTCATTTTATTAATTTCTTGTTTACTCTATCCACATTTTATTAACATTTGATACCCTTCTTATTATCATTAATTTGCTTACATCTATTTATTTTCAATCTTTTTAAATTAATTTACTTTTTCTATTTTTATTTTTCTTTCATTGGTTGATCTTTAGTATAGGTGGCCAATATAGAAATATTATAAAATTATAATATATAAAAATAACTATTTGAACTAATTTAAGCAAATTTGGGAATAGAAAGGGCTAGGATGAGGATTATAGTATAATTTATATAATATTTCTATATTGGCACTATGCTAAAGGAAATCCCTTTCCTTTATTTTTTTATTTTTTATTTTTTATTTTATTTTATTTTATTTTTTTATTTTATTATTTTTTTTATTTTATTTTTTTTTATTTGATTTTTTTTTATTTTATTTTTATTTTATATCTTTTATTATTATTATATATAAAAATGTCTCAAAAACCCAGTAAATTAGAAAAACAAGATGCCAAAAGACATGAAGATTTCTTAAAAATGGTAGCTAGTACTAAAATATGTATCTTAGTTAAATACTGAGCAGGTTGCTGCATAATCTAGGATCTACTTCATGTTTATTTCCATGAACTTCTAATCGTTAATAATTATAATATAATTTAAATTATTTTGTTAATTTCTATTTAAAATTTTTAATTTAATTTATTATTTAAAATAATTTAAGAGCAAACTACATTGGCTGATATAAAGAAATTGTTAATTGTGTTAAATGAGAAAGTTGATAGATTAGAGCAAAAGGTTGCAGACATGGATAGTCATATTACATCTGGTCTTAACTAAATTCTCCGAATAATTAAAGTTGATCTATTAAGAGATAACCCGACTCAAGTGTTTCGTGACATCATATCACGTGTACAAGTGTTATAAATCCCGAATCAAGTTAACCATCAGAGCTAAATTGGATTCACATCCGTAATTGCTCTCTCAACCGATGGTAACACTATATTAAAAGTCATAAAATCATATCAACCTTCATTATAACCAAATAACCTATGACATGTAACAACAACATAAAAGTCATATAGGTTTTCTTAGGGCATTCGTCATGAGAATTACGTTCATTGAACAAACGAAACAAAATATATTAAAACTTTAATGAAAAAAACCTGATTGATATTTGTATTAATTACAATCTGAGATGGAACTCTAGTTTAATCTTATGACAATTCGAAGGTTTACAAGCCAACTTGTATCTACAAATAAAAAGTAATATTTATTTATACATATATAGGATCTTTTTTTCACACCAATTCGTGTAATATGTTTATTATAAAAATCTAATTTATTTATAGAGCCTTATTTATATTTCTTGCTAAAGTTTATTGACAAACTAAACATAAAATTTAATATTGTTACAATCGTTATGATACAATCGAGAATTATGAAAATAGTGTAAAGATATCATTAAAAGGAAGTTACCGTACTAGTGTGAGTAACGCCCATGGGCGTTATTTCGCGCAAATACGGTAAGCAGAAAATCCTAATAGAAAATGAATGAACGTAAGCACAAGTAAGTTTGAGGCATGCACGTATGTTATACGTATTAAAAACAACATAACGATAACGATAAATATAATTAACTAAAGCAGCCTTGGTACAGTTGAAATTAATAAGACAAGATCTACATTTATTACAAATCATCAATGGGATAATCCAAAAAAAATTTTTTTTTATTTTCATGTGTTAGCTTAATGGAAAACCCATTTATTATGACCAAAAAAAAAAAAATTCGGAATAAACAGAAGCAATCCTTCTTATTTCGGAACTGAAGGTCTGGTTCCAAACAATTGGTCAACATTAAGCTAATCCCGGCTAACTTTGTCGGGATTCCTGTCAGGATTCTGTTTATCAGAATACCAAAGCCCCTTACGTTATTTCATAGGCTTTTAAAGGGTATGTAGAGAGGTCCCTAAAATCTATAACGATCCTGAATATCTATGTTATCTGAAAAGCTGGTTTGTTTTTTTTTGTTTGGGAATCTATTTTTGTGCCCGTAATTTTAGATTTGAGCCCACTCAACCCGCAAAGATATAAATTTTTTTTTTTTAAACATATATATATATTTCTATTCGTATACTATGTGTATGTACGTACACAGTCTCAAAACCACAGCTTTTGGGGTTCTAACAAAAAATATTTCTTCAAAATTTTAGCATAAAGTATAACTATTTTCCACCCTTAAGTTTTTTATCTTACCCTAATTATTAAGCTAAATTAAATTTACAAATCAATAAATTAGTACGAACCAGTAAATAACCATTGCTTGTAAATTAACAAATTATCTTAATTAAAATATAATTATAATAATATATACAGTCGACTTTGGATATACCGAACCTGTTTATACCGGAATCTGGCTATAACGAACCAGATCTGGGAGAACGGATTTTTTATAATAAATTAAGCTGGTTATACCGAACTTAAATAGTAAATCTTTATATACTGTATCCGAACTCGTCTTTACCAGCCCAAGACTATGTATACATATTTCGATAAAGTGAACTATTACTGTATTATATAATTTCACGGATGTACATGTATACAAAGTAATGTGTTCCGAAATTTTCCGAAAAAAATGAAAGAATATAAAGGACGAGGCAAAATTTCGAGTAAAATTCCGAAATTTTCCGGATTGATTTAAATCTGTGAGAGGTTCTATTGACTAGCTTTATATACCGAACAGTTCGGTATAGAGAGAGTGAATTATATAACGAACATACTCTATACCGAACGGAAAGGTCCAGAATACGCAGTTCGGTATATCCAGAGTCGACTGTACCTAGAGTTGTGATTTTGTGTAATTTTACGTAATTTAGTGTAAGCTTCCGAAACCAAAATTTCGTGTAATTTTGATATCATGTGAATTATGTAGCCAAAATTTCATTATGCGTGTGCTTTTGAATATAAAATTATAGTTCCGAACGTAGTGCTGTAGTGATGAATCTCTAATAATACTGGCAAAACTTCCATGCCAACCCATTATCAAATGTAATATTACATTACAATTTTTAAGTTACAGTGTAATTTATTTGTAACGTAAATGTACCTTAAATTCTCGAAATAGCGTTATTTCGAATTTTGGCCCGAATTAAGCTCAATTCGGGCCAAAATTGAAATAACACCCATGCCCACTATTTCGAGTGTTTACAGTTTATTGCGCTTTGTAAAATTATGTAACCCCCATGATTATTAATTTGTTTATAAAATGGCGATTGCGATTGCTAAAGCTGGCCGATTTATTACAAACTTTGATTTACAATCGCAATCGCAATCACTTTCGGTCTTGGGCCAATAGACCATGGTCCGTCATAAGACCGGTCTAAACCAATCCTATTCAGTTTAGTCTCAGCCTAAAAAAAAATTAGATTATAATCCAAGCAAAATTTTAACCGGTTTAAGACTAATTACAAACATATTGAGTTGAATTAACGATAAAAAATAGTCTTAGATCGATTTCAGAAAGTTTAGACCATTGGATTTGAATTCATAATAAAAGACTAGTCTTAGAACGGTCATTTATTGTATTATATAAAGTCAGTCCATTGAGTTTGAATTCATAATAAAGACTGGTTTAAAGCCGGTCATTATAATTAGAACCTCTAACTATAAAGACCGGTCTCAGACCTGTTTTTTTATACCAAAAGTTGGTTTATAAGTCGTTAGAAGCAAAACCGACCAAAGACCTATTAAATTAATAATCATGGGTTTACATAATTAGACATAGCAAAGCTTTATAATAATGGTGTTAGACACCACAATTGCTATATATATCTTAAAAACTAGTTAAGTAATAACAGTAATGCTTAATATTTTAAACCAACTTTGTTCCTAACCCTAACTTTTAATGATTTAAAAATTTTATTTTTTAATTTAACATATAAAATTCGAAATCCTCACTGTTAGAGATTGTTCCCAGGTAGACATATGGCTATAATAAACTACCGGATAATTTAATAATACTCGGGTAGAGATTTTCTTGACGGGTAACAATCTGTACATGAACTTTGGGGAGCAAAATTAGGTATACATTATTAAAAAAATGCATTATTTCTAGTATCCTAAGGGTCTTACTATACTGGTATTGTGCATTTATCGTTATGAGAAAAAAAAAGCAAGATATAATTTGGAAATTTGTTAGACAAAGCCTCCTTGCGTAAATATATTACTGCTTAAAGTATACGCTCTATAATCATTTGAGCCACTTATGCCAGTACGTAATACAAACTTCAAAATGGAAGCTTTGACGTAAAAATAGAGTTTTAGTAGAATATTGAAGTTGGATAAAATTTTTATTTGTTATTACATTATGATTTTTTAATTAGCGTTAGCGTCTCAAGATCTATTTAAATTTTTTTTCTCTCGTGGTTTGATCCATACCTTTTTTAGATTTAGTATTACAGTATATCGATATACGTATCGACATTACAGTATTATATTAAAAAAAAATAAACAGGAGCTGATCTTGTGAACCATATAAAAAAATAAATTTACAATACCAGATCATTCCGCTAGTACATGTTATGATTATAATTCAACACCATTTTATTATATTAAAAATGATGTTGGATTATAATCATAACATGTACTAGCGGAATGATTTGGTAATTGTAAATTAATTTTTTTATATGGTTCACACCGGGTGAAAGATCAGTCGTGTAACATCGACGGTTCCTCTTGTTTTTATATCATTACCTCCCTGTTATGTAAAACACCCACGCATGAATGTTTTTTTTTTAATTCCAGGAAATATAAATTCTAGTATTTTTGATTTTTGTTTAAAATTTATTTTTATTAATACAGAATTATGCCTCTATTTACACTATTTAATCAAATTCAAATTGGTTCCGAAGTAACTTCAAAATTTTTTTACCGTCATGCAAAGTTTTGCGCTTCTCATCAAATTTTAGTGATTTTTCTGGCAATCTCTGTAATCTTACCTCTGTGTTATCCTGCTTTTAATACTTATTACTTAAATCCTGTCAGAGATTTCAGGCATACGTTTTTTTGGGAATTATCATCTAGGTCACATGTTTCAAGAGATTATTTTGTTAAGAAATATGGGACTCAACCTTCGTTTCATGTAGAACAGGTTATAATAACAAACTTGAAGAAACAAAATATGGGTGATGAAGTTGGTGTTTTGAGAAAAGATATATTATCATTGATCTTAAACCTGCAAGAGAAAATAATGGATGCTTTCGTAATGTGCCCTAACCTTTCACCTATTAAAAGATATTCCCTTTCAGATTTATGTCTCAAACCTTTTAATAATAATACCTGTTTGATTCATTCTCCACTCGTTTATTGGCTAAATAACGCTGACCGTCTTTCTTCTGATTCTTCTATTCTTAAAACACTCACATTGAAAAGTGAAACATCCTCTGGAATGTTAGTTCCAATAAATTCAGTCTTTGGAAATGTTGTGTATGACAAAAAGAAAATTATTAGTGCGGATTCAGTTATTTTAACATATTTTTTGAAAGACATGGAGGAATGCAATGAAAGTCAGACAATGACTGTTTGGGACGCGATTTGGAGAAAAATTATTAATGATAATGACACTACTTTTTGTCACCCTGATGATCGAATTATAGAGATAAATATGAACAATAAAGGAGAAGTAAAACATTTATCTTTTAATGTATTAACTTTTATTATTTGTATTTGCAATTGTATTGTAGTTTTTATATTAATTAGTTAATTAATTTCGTAGTTAGAACAAAATGATTCTCTGGAATTTTCAACTGAACAGATTCTTTTTATGTTGATGTACCTGATTTTTTCCATATGCACCCTCTCTTTCGGTCTTCCTAATTCCGTCAAGTCTAGATTTGGTCTCTTTTTCTCAATTGTGGCTCACGTTGTTGTTTCGTTAATTATGTCGCTTAGTGTCTGTTCTCTATTTGGTGTTACTTTAACATTTACCTCTTTATCTTGGTGTGTTGGTCATCTTATCAATATACTGATATACATTGATCATTATATATGTTCAAATAATAATATGTTGTTTTTTTTTTTTTTTTTTAGGAAACTATTGCCTCTTGTCTTTATCTTTGCCAGTATTGAAATAATGGTTATTTTAACAAACGCAATAGCATCGACACCTATGCAATTGAATATAGAAGATCGCATCGCTTTAGGTAGTATCTTAGATACTCTCTTGACATCTTGACATTCTTTTTTTAATGTTCACCCATATCGTCTTTGTTTTTTTTTTTAGGCCTTGAAAAAGTTGGATATAATATTACAAAGATGCTTTTAAGCTGGCTCTTGTTGTTGCTAATATTTTCAGCGACAAACATTGGCTCGATTAAAGAATTCTGCATTTTCACTTCGATTGCTATGATTATCGATTATATGTTACAAATGTCATTTTTCGTAGCGATCTTGTCAATTGATCTTGAAAGATTAGAATTAGAGGTACAGTATTTACATTGACTAATAGTTAATTGAATTGATTAGAGATACTATCTGGATATCCACTAATTTAATTTTATAACATGATTAATAACGGATCATATCTCTAGACTTGGTACAATTAATTTAATTAATCATCTTTAATATGTTTCAACAGATGTCTTATTTATATAGTAAAACTGATAGAGAAATTCTTCCTGCTTCACAAACAAACAATTATACTCGTAGGATTGGTAGTTCGTTAGTGGTATGTATAAATTTTATAAACTTTTTTTTTTGTTTATATACAATGTATATATAAATTGAATCATTCCTTTTTTTCTACAAAGGTTCTTATCTTCTTGGCATCCATGACGAATGTTCATAATATTACTACTGACTCGTTATCCATAAAATCCGCATTAAGCAATTTAGTTGATAACTTTATAGATCTTCCCACTACTCATACAAATATCACTTATTGGGAATCATCAATGAATTATGAGTTTTGGAGAATTGTTGATCTTAACAAAAAAAATCAATTTATTGAAATTCGACCAACTAGATATTTGACTTTATCTTATACCACTGAACATGATAATTATGATTCATTTCGTCCATTTGGTAATGATTTGAATTGGAAGTTAATTTATGCGTCCATAAAATCTTTAGCTTGGTTTTTCAAAATTTTCATGTTCCCTATTATTGGTATAATAATTATAATATCATTTCTTATGGGTCTTTTATTACCAACGGATTTGGTAATTCAAATTTCTGGATTTTTAAAAAGACCAAGAAATAATGATTCAAATGAAATTACGCCAACAACTTTATCTTTTAGAAATTATTCTACTTTATATGACACCTCCCCTCGAATTGTAACTTTACGTGGTCGTCATTCAGCCGATGTGAATTTTCTTTGTGCGAACTTAAATGGTGTTATAGTAACAAGCGCTACTGACAAACATATTACATTATGGGACGGAAAACAAGGTGTACCATTAAGAAAACTTGAAAGATATATGCGTCGCTGTGAAACGTGTAAATGTGATAGTACTGGAGGTATGAAAAATTGTATTTCATGGCCAGTTAGGGCAATGTGCATGAATGAAAAGCTTGAAATTGCTGCAGCTGGTTTTGACGATGGTGTGGTGAGAGTATGGGATATAAAATCAGGGCAAGTAACTTTTATTTTGAAAAGCAATGGAAACACTATTGATATTGAAGATGCCGAACAAATAATGTCAGAATTTAATAATAATGATAATTCAGCAAAGAAACGAGTAACTTGTTTGCAAATTATAGTACCAACTTTAAATCCTCAGAATACGTCTAAATTAATATCAGATCAAAAAATACCAGCTATACTTTTAGCAACTTATCGAAATAGTTATTTTCGGGAATGGGATCTTGTTTCTGGACAAAATACCCATACAATTTTTACAAATCAAAAAGGTGGTATCGATTACCTCTTCGTGGTTGATGACAAAAAACAAGGTTATGACCTAGATAAGATCCATATTTTTACTGGAGCACGAGACGGGTCTGTCAAATTTTGGATTCGTACAATTCGTGATGTAAATAACACGAGCGTGTGGAACTTACTTTACACAATTCCAAGTGATTTTGGAAACGCGATAACTAGTATTGCTGCTAAAATGATCAGCACAAAGATCGGTATTGTGGTTACCGGTGCTATAGATGGAGAGGTTAAAATATATGATTATCTCACTGGTAAACTTATCAAGATATTGAGTCACGGAACTTTTGGAAAAAAGAAACTTGCAAAAGAGAACAAAGAGCAATTATTATTTAAACGACAGCAACATAAAAAAACTGACGACTTCTTTTCTGAACAAGATTTGTCTGAAAAAGATGTTGTTTCCCATCAGGATGAAATTACAAATATTATAATTCATCCATGTAAAGAAGAAAGTTGTCCATGTGGAAATACTGTTGAGGCTATCGGTTTTTCAATAATAACTTCTTCATTAGATGAAAAAGTGAATTTTTGGCGGTTAATCCGAAATGATGTGGATTGTGAGTGCTTGACTTCCCAAATAGGAGAATTTTCGATTAATGATTACGATATCACAGATGCCGAACGAAAAATTTCTTGGTGGGATAGTGCGGTAATAAAATTCATTGGGTTTGTGAGACAACCCGACGGTTCTGCAATCGTTTTTCTTAAAAAAAATGTAATTGGAGTTCGTCATGTTAAAAATTTATATATGCCCATTAAAAAATGTCATAGCACTGAAGGTGAATGGCAAGCCTGGTCTCTAGATATCGACGAACTTCGTACGCTAGAATCAAATGAAGAGATTGATGATTCAGGTAATTCCGATCACATTGAATTTAGAGTTAAAACCATTCCATTGGTTAACGAGGATGATTTGATCGTGGAAGAACAATTAAAAAAAAAGAAACAACACGAAAGTGAAAATGTAATGGAATTAAAAGGATTTATTAGAAGGCGTAGAGGTAACTCTTTTAATAATCACGAGCAAGGCCGAGTTGTAGATTTTAGGCATCGAGATCAAAAGCAACATTTACATCCAGATAATAGTCGCAATATTGGAGATGATGATGAAATGAATGAAATGTTACCATTTGCTTATATACGACAAGTCGTCAAAATGGGTGAGGATGGGATAGCTATTGCATATGGAAACTTTGTAAAAGTTATATTGTTTTAAGAACTGAATGATGCGTAGCTAAATAATTAAGATGACATGTATTATATGAAAAAATTCTTTTATATATTATATAAATAGTACCGAATTAAAATTTTATTTGTGAAAATCTAATACAATATTATTAAAATAATAAAATCGTAGCAAGTATTGTGCGGCGAGCATCTATGTGAATTATCTTCTCGATCTTTGTTGCATTCAAGACATGTCAAAAAAAAATTGTCACAGATTCTCGATTTGTACTATGCAAATAACATGTGACGATCCTTGATATTTTTTATATGTTATTATTAATTATTAATAAATTTTTAAATCATAATTTTACAATCATGTAGAATTAAAATAAATAAAAAAATTAATTGAGTTTGACTCAGTAGTTATCGAGAAAACGTTAATTAAAGTTTCAAAAAAAATGTTGAAAATCTAAAATCAAAATGATTACGATTTATTCTGTCAAAACAGATCCTGTTAAAACCGATAACTTACTATATTTGGTAAAAAATTAATCTAAGCTTATTTTATAATTAATAAGCTTATTTTATAATTGATTTCTAATAGAGAATACAAAGTGTATAAAGCACTATCCAATATTTAATAACTATCTATTTGCTATACTAAATTTAGTACAGTTATAAAATTTAAATTTTGAAAAAATTTTATTATTAACTTTAAATTAAATTTTTTTTTTAATTTAACTATTTAGACCTCTGGCACTTTATTTATAGGCAGTTTAGCCTAGTCAAGAAGACCAGCAACATACAGTATTATATTAATATTATAAAAGTATATATACAATTTTTGGTTGTTTAATTTAAGTAGTTTGCTCTAAAGTTTTACACTAGCTGCCATATCTATAGCCTAACTAGAAAGCTATCTATTTTAAACTCTCTAGCTTTAATTTTTGCTATATGTTTCTTCTTAATATATTCTTTTTACAAAGTAATTTGCTAAATAAGATCTACATATTCTAATTTATAGGCTTTTTTTTAGCTTGCAAAGCTTTTAATTTATTAGTCAAAAGATTAGATTTGCTAAATCTTTTGGTTTATAGTTATTCTAATTTTAGTATATATATTCTTTTTTTTTTGGGCATATTTTTTAATAGCCTAGTTGGTATTTTTTTTTTTTTATTATTGCCAAAAATTTATATTATTTTTTATTTAAAATTTTTTAAGCTAATTCCTGATCTTCTAGTTCTTTTTTAGTTTTTATAGTTTTAGAAAGTTTATTATAAGTTTGTACTGTCTAAACTAGTTTGCATTTTTCTGTATAACTTTAAATATTTTTAAATCTTCTAAATTTATTAGTTTGACTAGAGTAACAGTTTTTAGAACCAAGCTAATTAATAAAATTAGTTATTATAATACTAAATATTTATTTAAACTATTATATATAGAATTTGAATTCTGTATCTTTAGTTATAAAGAGCTTTTATAAGTAATTTCAAATTTTTTATAAATATTAAAAAAATAAAAATAGCTTTTAGTTAGTATATAATTATTGTTATTATTTAAAAAAAAATTTTTTAAAAACTTTTATTTTTTATAAAGATTAATAAATTTGTAACCACGGTTATTGTAACCGCACTGTGTAGCATTAAATTAAGCCAATTAAATTTCAAGATCAGGCATAATACAAAATCAAGATAAAAACTATTTTTTCTAAAAAAATTTTTAATAACACAAAATTTTGATTATGAAACCATTTTCTATGTTCTAACAAAAAAATTTTCTTGCTAAATTTTGATATAAACTATATCTTGCTTTAACTATAATATCACCCTAACTCTAACCTTTAACTGCAAGAGCTTATTTTATAAAAAAATATTTTTTTGATATTCACATTACACCTAATCTTAGTTATGGTTACAAAAAAATTTATTGTAACCACCGGTTACAAATTAATTAATCCTTTTTATAAAAGTAGATCAAACATGAATTTATAAAATTTTAGCAGGCAAATTTGCCTGCTAAACTAGACAGTTTAAGAGATAACTTTATTTTTGATATAGAGTTTATATTTTCAATAAATGTAGTATTTAATTATAGCTTTGTTATTTTTAAACTAAATATAGCTTATCTGGTTGTTTTTTAATATTTATATACAACCTGCCAAAATAAAATTAGTTTTGCTACTTTATCTTTATTTATTTTAGATATAAAGTTTATAGTTTATTGGTTTAGATATATAGCCTGTAAGATTTATTTTAATTTTTGTTTTATATGAATTATCTTTTAATTTATACCCAATTATTTATCTCTTTATTGCTATATTTAATTTTTTTTTAAAATTGCTTTACTATTTTCTTTTTTCTTTATTATTTTTCTTTCAAAAACAAATAAATCTTTTAGTTATTTTTTTTTATTTATTTATTTTTTTTATACTTTTTTTATTCTCTTTTTTCTAGAGTTGATTTGCTATTTATTTTTCTATTTTGCTATTTTACTACACTATTATAGTTAGATTTTTTTGAAAAAATATATATTATTTATTTTGCTATGAGTATTATTGCTTTTTTTACTTTTTTTAAGATAGTTATAAATCTGAATATAATTAATAGGTTTTTTAGTTGTATATTAGAATTCTAATATATAAAATTCTGATATATAAAATTGATACACAAAATCTCAGCAACAAAATTTCTAATATACAAAATTTTGACAAATTAAAATATTAACAATATTAAAATTAGAATTTTAATTTGTTGAATTTGTATATTAGAATTTTGTTGTCAGGATTTTGTATATCAGGATTTTGTATACTAAAATTCTGATATATAACTATTTTTTTCAATTAGCTTTTTTGCTATTTTTTTTTTTGTTTTTTTTTTATTAATAAATACTAAGTATAAAAATATTATCTGGGTTGGGTAATCTATACAGATTATCAAATACAGATCAAAATTGATCTAATTCAGATTAAACTAGTTAGAATTAAAAATAAATTAATTACTATAAATATTTGCAAATAATACTAAATTATACTATATATAATTATATCTATATTAAAGTAATTTTTTTTTTTTTTTTTTTATATTAAAGGTGAGGTCTTGCTCGTATCTTTATTTAATAATTTATATAAGTGATTAC